TGTATTGTGGAGAACCTTATATTTTTTTGCTGCAAATAATTTTGATTTTGTTTTTTGTGTGATGCAATTAGGTGCTTGTACCATATTGAAAATTATAAATTAATATAGTGGTAATTTAATTACAAAAACCTTAAAATCAAAATAGATTAATATATATAAATTTAATTGTTACCATCTATTTTCAAAATGAATACAGTGGTAATTTAATTATATTTAGATTATCTCGACCATTATTATTTAATTCTTTGGTAGTACAATGGTTAGGGTTAATTAATTCAGAATGAAGCGAACATATAACACTGGGTTTGCCAAAGAAAATATTGAATCGGTGAGCGACAACGAATCTAATGCATCTATCTAAAAAATTATGGGTTCGCTCTTGATTGCAGAGTTTATGAAACAAGAAAAGGTATTACTTATGAAAATACTCAATAAATTGATTTACAAATGTGACAACAAAAAATTAACATACTTATAGTGTTTTCTTAAATATTTGACAGAAATGAGGAGATTCCTAAAAAGGAAAGGTTTAGCCCATGCTAGTAATAACTCTCAACCTCGTGGAGCTGGAGATATATCAATCCACTCCGGCCAATCCAAAAGCACATCTTGAAACCCTAGGTGGCCCGAGGAACACAACGTCGTGCTTGCTGAGCTTCTCTTTGAACAATTCGTACACGACAATATATGTAATGGAAGCTTAATGAGGGAGCAGTGGTCAAATCTTATCGTGGTTTTGAACCGGAGGTTGGGTACATTTTACACTGAATCATCAATAATGATTAGGTTCAAGAATATGAAAGCTGATTTCCAAACGCTTTATCAACTAACGAATCAGAGTGGTTGGGGTTGGGATGAGGAATTACACATTCCGTTTGCTACTGATGAAGTTTGGGATGAAATTATACATGTAATATTTATCTTATTTATTTTACAGTTAGGTCCAACAACACATTTTGTTAATCAATGTTGTATAATTAAATTGTACGTGACTCCAAAGCTATTACGATTTCGACGACATCTGTTTCACCAATATGAAATTTTTGAAAAAATATGTGCAGACAATATAGCTGTTGGGAGCGGTGCGAGATGCAATAAAACAACGTCCAATCCAATAAGTTTAGAGGTGGACGATAGCCCTCAATTCGAAGATGAATTTCTTACAAGTAATGGTGTTGCCTACGAGTTTAAAGGAATCCCAACAAGTGAGCACCCCGATGCAACAGACTATATGCCACCATCTTTCGAACCCACTGCATGTCAGATGGTTGGCTCTAAGCGATCAAGTGATGAACCAACCAAAAGTACAAGGCGAATTGAACATGAAAAAAGGGAGGTTTAGATAACCTAAATAAATTCTTAGTGGAGTCCAACAAAAATGCTGTAGCTTTTAAAGAAACAGTTGTAAGAAGCAACCCATACACAATGACTGAATGTTTTCAAAAACTAGGCACTGACGCACTGTAGAGAACTTAACAACGGAAGGTCTATTAGCTGTTGTTGATGCATTGAAGGATAATACTGATTACAAGGCCATACTAATGACTTGAGAGGGTGAAGTCCTTCATAAATGGATCGAATTTATTGTTGAGAACCATTCGCGATTTTATTCATCAAAGATTTGGCTGTAGTTCTTCCCTGCAATGGTTTAGTAGTCATGCTTTCTGAATTTGTACTTTTGAATTTGTAGTTGCGTAGTGAATAACTTATTCCCATCAAAGGTTTAGTAGTTGTGCTTTCTGAATTTGTACTTGTAATTCATAACTTATTTGAATAAGTTGTGCTTTCCATTGTTATTCGCGTACTTAACAGATTTATGAAATTCTCCTCTTACCATTTACAATCATGTTCTTCCATTTAATTCAGTTCATAAGATTATCATGATCAGATGAATCCATGACATGATTATGAATGTTCTCATATTGGAATTGATGCCAATGCACTGTCAATTCGAATGAACAAACTGAGAACAAACCTGATTTAAATATGAGATAATAAAGCAATTTATTTGTAATAACGATACTCATTTGGATGTAATCTATTTACAAGTCACTTTTCATGCTTGTAGAATGAAAACAAACTTTATGCAAGCCTTTCGATGCAAATCGTGAAAAGAGCTTCACAATGAACTTACTGCATTTGCCAAATTCTGCTCTCTTGGTAGTACGAGAGACCTTAATGTGGCTACGAATTCTCTAAGCGAAGAAGGCCAGTGCTTCTGTGAAAAGAAAGAATACATGACCGTTAATCATCATCAGGGTGAGGTATGCTGTGTCGGATGTTGAGGAAACTTCTTCTCTGAAGTAGGATTAAATGTGAATACTGAAGCATGAATGTTCAGATTCTTTGGTCTTGCTTAACTAGCTTATTGCTAAACATTTTCTATTGAAGCAGTTCAAAGAGTAAATAAATGATTGGCTTGAAAGGGTGTAAACCTATTTTAGTAGCATATCTTGTTTTGATGTATTCCTTTACTGTAGTGTTTTGTATATATGGGCGTTCATGGTCTATTGTGCTTTCATTTTAATGTTGGTATTCGGCATGAATGACTTTTGGATTTAATTTGCATATACAGGTCCCTAATGTCGAATTTTTTACGGGGTGTTCTTTCAGAAGAACAATGCAAAATGGTTGATTTACATATACAGGTTACCAATACTATAGCTGAACTTGCCCCTGCTATTATATAGGAAGCTGCAAATATTGATGAAGAGGAGCACGTCCGACGTCCGATGTTCGCCGGTCATCAGTAAGTGTTGGATGTACTGGCTGGACATCCAGGGCAGGCATACCAGTGTTTTCGCCTGCCACCGGACGCGTTCATAAGCTTAAGAGATGTTTGTTGCACGAGAACATCTATCAGACACGAAAAATATGCTTGTAGGAGAACAACTTGGTATTTTCTTACGCAGTGTTGCACATGCCCACATCTATCGACAATTATGTGAGTTTTTCCGGCATTCCTTAGAAACTGTTAGCAGGTACTTCAATCAGGTATTACAAGCAATTGTATCTTTGGCTGATGAATTCATAAGTCTACCTCCAATGGAAGTTGATTGTCATCCATTCGTGCGTGCCAATGAACAATTTTACCCATTCTTTAAAAATGTAATTGGAGCAATAGATGGTACACATGTTCCCGCAGTTGTTGGAAGTACTTCACAAAATTGTTATCGAAATCACAAGGGATTTACTTTACAAAATGTTATGGCTGTAGTGTCTTTTGATCGACAATTTGTGTATGTAGCCTTCGGATGGGAGGGATCAATGGCGGACATGCGTGTGCTCAGATGAGCTGTAAAACAAGGGCAATTTGGTACCATGCAATTAATATTACTTGGTTGATTCTGGATATACTAATACAAAGATTAGGTTTTGATGTTTTACATGTTTCCTAATATTCACAACTTCACCGCAATACCGCATGATTTTAATCAAACGGATGAAAATTGCGGTTGAGCTTAACTGGGCGGTTCACGCCCGGTTACCGATTCGCCGGTTTCACGGTCGGACCGCCGGTCAGACCGGTTCTGAGCCGGTTTTTTGCTTGCCCGGTTTCAGTGACAGAACGAACCGGCCGGCCGACCGGGTACCGGTTCAACCGGTTGAACCGACCGGTTCAGTCCGGTTTTTAAAACGTTGGTAAAACAAGGGCAATTTGAAGTACCATGCAGTTAATATTACTTGGTTGATTCTGGATATACTAATACAAATAAATTGATTGCACCGTTTCACGGACATCAATATCACTTAATCTATTATCGTGGATGTGCTTCTTGACAATACGCTGTTGAGCAAGAGTTATTTAATCATGAACACGCATAGTTACGCAATGTGGCTGAGCAAACTTTTGGGATATGGAATGAACATCTTTAGGTTTTGACCCAAATGCGACAGTTTCCATTGAATGTTCAAGCAGATATAGTTATAGCTTGTGCCGTTCTGCACAATTTCATTGGCCGATATCACAAACATGACCTCTACTTTAACATGTCACAGACTGAAATGCAGCATGACACTCTAGGTGGGGAAGTTGATATGACTGAAGAGGATCCCAATTTACATGCATCAATATGAGAAAGAATTCAGGGCGAAGCTATAAGGCACAATATCACCACTGATTTATGGAATACTCGGGTAAAATTTTTGTTTTGTATTATATATCTTTTATAGATTATATTTTATAATTAACTCATTCATTTCCTTATTTCAGATTGCAAGTCAAAGAAATTGATTGGTGTGAGAATTTTTTTTCAAGATTCTACCTATATGAAGTCAATCAAAAAATTTGAAGATTGCTCATACTTATGACTTCTTCTTTCTTTTGTGCTAATATTAGTTTGTTATTTCCTCAATTTTGAAAAATTCATTAATATTGTATGAACTCGAATTGTTGGTATTATCTTTTATGCAATGAACTTGACTACAAAAATATCTACATCAATTTTAAATCCCCAACTGTCATAAATCCTGAATATGTTACCAAACAGTTTCTCAAGATTTAACAGGATTTAACATTTAGCATACCAAACAATTTTCAGGATTTAACACATTTTGGATTTACTAAATCCGAATTTACAGAATTTATTAAATCACACTTAAGTTAAATCCCACTTGTTTCCAAACAGCCAAGTCCGAACTAGCACATAATAATTTCTCCGTATATTATGAGTCAATTGAAATTATGCGTTACATCTTCAATTTACTATGGATCAATACTTTGTACCGTGTGTACCCTGTGTACTAGGGCAAATTATTACATCTGATCAACGGACGCGCATAATAGGTTCGGACATCTAATAAAAACATGCAACATCACCTGTGCTTTTGAATGCGCTTTAGATGCGCTTTGACTGTGTTTTACCTACACTTTTGACCGTACTTTTGACTGCACTTTAACTGAGTTTTTTCTATTTTTTTTAACGTGCTTAATTTAAAATAATATTTTATTAATATGGAACCTATCTCAGCTTCCGGTGACCCGATGTAATAATTTGCCGTGTACTAGATAAGGCGGACGGGCGGAGCATCTGATTATGTAATAATCTTTCGTGAGTCAAAGCCAGGGGAAAAGAGCAGCAGCGTAAATTGCCCTTCAAGTTGTTGCTGTCGAGATCGAAAGTAGAAGGAGATATCGTCTTTGCAGCGCCATCAAAACCCCGGCGGCAATGCATCTGGAGGTTTCTTGTTCCGTTTTGTAATTTGGGAATCTCAAAGTACCTATGAGATTTTGTTGTTTTTTTTCTCAATCGATTGATGTAGTTCGTCTTCGTTTCATTTCGATTCTTCCTTGGATCGGTCGCAGGATTGGGGACGGATCCGATCTCCTCTTTTTTAATCGTCGACCTCAGTAGGTTTTCTCGCCGTTGATGGTGGTTTTGGGGCCGATTTCTCCATGATATATTGCAGATCCCTCTATACTTGGATTGGTCAGACCATATCCTGCATGGGGTATGTGTACAGCTTCAAACCCTTTCATGGTTTCTTTTTTGCTTTTGTTTTTAATCTACAAGGGCTTTTAAAGTGCTTTTAGTTTTAATGTGCAGGAACTGTATTATAGTAATGGTATTTGGGTTTTAGGAAATTATTCTGTATAATTTGTCGGGACTTTTAAGCTATTTAGGAGTTGATTTTTTTTTTATTGATTAAATTTATCTCCCTTCTTTCTTTGACCCTTATTGCTATTTCATATAAACCATAAAGGGGAGTAGAAATTGGTTCTTCATTGTAAGAAAATTAACAAGGGCTTTTGGAATTTAAAAATCTAAAAATGATGGGCAGAAGAACTGACGATAATAATTCAGATTCTTAACCATTTTGGTGTTACTAGGATAATGTTCATGAATGTTATTTTGCATCATAATTTATTTTATTGATTTTGTATGCTTACAATTGTTACAAAGGATATGAAAATCTTGTAGAAGTTTGGCTTGATTTGAACTCTAAAGTGGTTCAAGAATTTGTTTTTTTTTTCCTGACAAAGCCTCAAATAAAGTTCTTAATTGGTTTTTACACCCTTCATTGTGAAATGGATTTCAAAAGACATGAAAACTAGCACCACACCCTCACCAACCCAAAAAAGCCATAATAGAATGAGTTTATTAAAATTTGCTTACTCTTACTCACTCTAAATTTAGTGCTTGTTTTTATCATTTGTTTTTATAGAATTTTGAAATACTACATGCTACATATACATAGATTCATTGGGTTCCCATAATAATGCAATGGAAAAATAAGTGTTTGAATATTAGCTATTGGAGCCAAACTAGCTATAAAAAGTTCAAGCACTTCAAATTATTTGTTTTGAAAAATGGTGTAAGAAAAAATGATTGAATCATTCTAGTGTCAGGCCTTATATTAGCTTATAATCAAAGTCCTTAAAAAGACCTTTTGTCATTGTAGCTGCCCTAGTTTCCTTTGAGATTATTATTTTTTACTTGGTCAGTCATACATTTAATTGAGGAAAAATTAAGCATCGATCTTAACCATACATGGGATTTTCAGCTTATATGACTTCTTATTCATTTATTTTTGAAGTAATTAGATCATTTTATTTGTCTCTATCTCAAAGAGTAACTTAGACTAATTCACTTGAATTTCACCTTCCAATTGTGCACATTCACTTTTAATCAAAGACAATTCTTCCTTTTACTACATCTATGCAATTTAAATCATTATCCAATTTTAAGAAATATAAATCTTTCTCGATCAACCCCTTTGCCTCTCATTCTTCAGAAAACTAGAAAGATCCATTTAAAGTATTTATCGATTCTTTTAGAAATTGGGCTCGTCTATGTTCTAATTTATCATATTGTTTTTTTATATATACCTTCTTTTTTTTTTTCTTCTGGCTTATTTTTGACATTATTTCATTTTGATTCATTTTACCTATATTTTCTTTTGATATCTTGATTTCTTTCTTGAAGTCCCATAAATTTATTGGCTGTATAGAATCTAACAAATTTCCTCATTAAGGCATTTGAAAGAATTCAAATTTATTTCTCAATTAATGTAATATTTGAAATTTTTTGGTCTGGCCCTTTATCCTTATAATATCCCATAGGTATTACATTTGATCCTTTTTTTCTTTTTCGTTGGAATTAATGTTGTTTAAGTTCAAATTCCTTTTTGATACTTCCGAAAGAAAATTCCAAATTGGACAGGATAGTGTGAGCTTTTATGTGCAGTCATGTGCTCATTAGATTGGAATCTATTTTCTAAATGATCCTAGCTTTCGTGCTTTGGTGAGTTCTTAAGATCCCTTTGATGATGTATGTTGTGTTCTAGGTACATATATATGATTCCGTCAATATGTTGTGTTCTAGGTACATATATATGATTCCGTCAATTGCATATGATCCATGGCTAAAATAAACGACAATGTGCACGAAAAGAGTTCTTTTGAATTAGTATAGCATTAAATTATAATTATATTAGTCTTACTTAGATATTTGTAATATATTAGCATTAATTGTAAATAGTTAGTGATCCAAATTCAGTTAGTCCATTTTTTTATAATGGATTGTTGTCATTAGCCTTAATTTTTTGTTTCATTGTCTAAGAATTTTTCAGCGGCTCTCATGTTTTTCATCATTTGCTAAGATGTTGGCTTTAGTAACTTTCCTTTTAAATGTCTATTCCTTATTTCAACAATTTGGAGATTTTGGGACTTTATACTCAAAACTTCCATTGTGTTTGTTGTTGATGCCACCATCTTTGTTCTTTGTTTTAACAATTTGGATATTATCAAGTTTGATCCTTATATAATCCAAACAACTTTTGGTTTGGGGCTGGATTGACCCGAATGTGATACATCACTCTTGTTAGGTCAAGTTATCAAATTGGATTTCGGGTTGACTAAAACGTAGGTAAATGCATATATGTATTGGAGTCCATCATAAAATTTTTGATAGAGATTGAGCTTATTGTTGCTAATCATCCTTTTGGGGTTACAATTATCTTGATCTTATGAAGAAATCAACCAAAAGATTCATGAAATGATAATTTATTCACATACATATAAATACAAATAATCACAAAAAAAACTACTGTATGCATATAATATAAACAAGATAAAGCAAATTCTCTGAGACAATTCAACAGCAAATAATTTGCAGGATTCTTCACTAACAAATGATAAAAGAAGTTTTTCATGTCAGAAACATTAATAAGTGTATAAATTGAGCTTTATAAGACAACATAATTAACAAGCTTAAGATTAAACATCAAAAGTTGAATTTCTTCAGAACTAATTCATGTAGCTTATAATAACTAAGATTGATATATGAGATGTCTAAAAATTGATGGTGGAGGTGTTAGGATTAGTTAATTAAGATATCCTTAATTCATTACAATTAGTTATTTAACTATATGTTGTATGTTGTATGCTAATGTGTTTTGGAGATCAAATCAACACAAAAACCAGCCACTAGAGCCAAATCAGCACTAAACAACAAAAAATAGCCATCAAAATCAAGAGAAAACAGCAATGGTATGCAGGAACAACACCAATAAAGCTGAAATAATAATCTTCAATAAAAAAAAAAACAAGATACTATTGATTCACTATTCGAGAGGTGAATCGACTCTCCCCCAATTTCCTAGCAGCAATTAGGAATCCAAAATCACATAAGAAAAATTGTTTCAGAAAATTCTTCACATAATCTCTCCTACATAAAAACTTTTTCCCTTAAAACTAGCCCTAATCCCACCATAAATGCATCTCACATTTCCTCCAATGATCTCCCCTTAAACTTTTTCCATCATAAATGCACCTCACATTTCTTCCAATAATCTCCCCTTAAACTTTTTTCCTCCTATAGATATGAAATAAGGTGCTGGGACCCACAAAATTTTGAAATGAGGTGGGGTCTACAACCATATCAATACTCTCTTCCCAAAAAGTCACCTTGTCCTCAAGGAGGAGGAACAAGGAATCTACCTTTGGATAGTGCTGTAGGCTTCCCATGTTTATTCATCTTATGGTAAATTCTTCCATTTGATCAACACTTCCTTGATCCTCTTGTCTCCTGGTCGCACCCCTCGCATCTCCAATGGCTCTAATATTACCTACATATCTTCTAATAGTGTAGCCGGTAGTACGGGCGAGAGTGTATGGTCTCCAATGGCTCGTCTCAACTGCGACACATGAAATGCTGGATGGATGGCTGAATTGGTGGCAACAGTAGGTGATATGTGACCGCACAAATGCACTCCACGACCTCGCATGACCCAAAGGATTAAGGGGAAAGCTTCTCATTCCTTAGTGTAGTTGTAAGGCCGAATGTTGACATAAACTTTGTCTCCAATCTCAAACTGCACATCTCTCCTGTGCTTATCTGTCACGACCCAACCCGGATACTCGACTTAACAAGACGGGAACTAAAAGTCACACAATAATTAATTCATTGCAATTCATAAGCAATACTACATACAACCTTCTCATTTTAACTGAAGAGCCCCTATTATACAAAAAAAACCTATTCATTTCACCTTTTAAAAGAAAATTAAATTTACATTAGTTGATTTAACTGTTTTCATTATTGCGTCTTTTATAAATAAATTCTTACCTTTCGACCATTTTTAATTCTAGAAATTTGCCTGAAACATTAATTTTGGTGGGTTGAGTTTATTATGTAAACTTTTTCCCTTTTTCATTTATTTTTAATTCATTTATATATTATTTCTTTAACATATACTTTCTAAATATATATAAGTATCATATATGTGTCTTTCTGACTTGACTTTCTATTTATTTAACATTCTTTCATATATTCATGTCATCTTTATATACTTTATCATGATAATCGATGCATACTATTATATATACATTTGAAATTTACATGACTTTATTCATAATAGTCTCAAAATAAGCAAAACAATTTTGTAAATATGTCTTTCATATTAAACTTAAATTAAAATAATAAAATTTCAAACAATTATAATTATCTACTTTATTTTCCTCTTCTAATCTTTGTCTTATATTGAGAACTGTTCACAATAACATAATAATTAATTAGTATTAAATTCAAATTTGAATGTCTCAACAAATATTTGATTCCTTCTATAAAATTACCTCACAATAGTTTTCTCTTCCTTCATGGCAATTTCCTTTCTTCTCTATTGAACCATTGAACCAATTCTTGCTTTAATTGAATCCTCCCTACAATATTGATTTCTTCGATTATAAAATAAGAATATAAATTCATATCTATTCAAACTTAATTAATAGTTCTCTTATTCTTTATTCCACTTTCAAAAGAAAAGGATTCTCAAATTCTTTCCTCTTTCTTTCCAAATCTCTTCCTTCCCATTTTCAATCTCTACCCTTGTCTTCAAGTATGTATTCCCCACTGAGTAGATGAAGAATAGGGAAGGATTTATACAGAAAAAAATGAAAATAATTTAACAAACATTTGCTCACTTTCCTCTCAGCCGTTCCTCTTGACAAAACTTCCTTCTTCTTGTGTTTCCTTCTCAATTTCTGTTTCTTTAGCGATAGGAATGAAAAGGAGTGGTTAGATTTTATCCTCAAATGAAATCATTCGCTAAAAATGGCGAAACGAACCTCCCAAACCCTTCAACGTGAGAGTTTGGTTTGGCCCGCACAGTTCTACCCTCTCTGTTTGCGAACGCCTCTTCTGTTTCGCGAAAGGCTTCGACCCCTTTTTAGTAGGTCTGGCCGGTTCAGTTGAACCGGCTGAACCGAACCAGATATTACACTATCTGCTTGCTTCTTCATAATTTGTTGTGCTCGCAGTAGATATCCCTTCAATTCTACCAAGATTTGGTCCCTTTCTCTAAAGTACCGCTCCACTGATTATATAGGTGTGTTGCCATGCTCATAATATAGCAGATGAGGGAGATCTCTCCCATATAGGATTTTAAATGGTGTTGTATGGGCTGCTGTATGATATGAATTTTATACCAGTACTCTGCCCAGGTTAGCCATTTGGTCCACATCTTTGGGGTATCTTAGACAAAGCACGAAGATAACTCTCTACATAAGTCTCTACACTGTGATTTTCCACCTCAGTTTGGCCATATGTCTGAGGGTGGTAAGCAGTTCTCTTCTTTAGGATAGCCCCCTGCATCTTGAATAGCTCCCTCAAAAAATGGCTCAAAAAGACCTTGTCCCGATCAGACAGAATGGACTCAAGTATGCCATGCAAATGGACTACCTCTCTAATGAAAGCAGTTGCCACTACACCACAGTGTATGTGTGGCGTAGGGGAATGAAATGAGCATATTTGCTTAATCTGTGCACCACAGTTAGAATCAAGGCGAATCCTTCTGACGTAGGCAATCCCTCAATGAAGTGCATAGTCACCTCTTCGTATAGCTTCTCGGGTAAAGCTAAAGGCTGTAAAAGATCACCTGGAGCCATAGCCTGTTATTTGTGTCTCTAACATACATCACAACTGATCACCATCTTCTCCACGTCCTTCAGCTTGCCCACCTAGTACAATTTCGCTACTAGTCGACGATGTCATTTGGATTCCCGAATTTTCCTCAATAGTTGTGCCATGAAACTCTTGTAAAAAGTGAGGGATTTGTGGTGATGTCCTTGATAGCACAAGCCATCCCTGGTATAACAACTTTGAACCCACAACGGAATATCCTGGATGACTATCCTTGTTATGCAATAAATCTTCTTTGATTTTACTCAACTCTTCATCCTGCTCGCTCTCTTGCTTTAAGATGTCCCACCACCACCTTGGGGATCGATAGAGCCTTAACTTGGGTATCTTCACTATGTCTGGAGAGAGCATCTGTTGCTTTATTTTTCAACACGGGCTTGTATTGGATTTCAAAGTCATACCCTAACAACTTAGAAAGCCATCATTGATGCTCCTCTATCACCATCTTTTGCTCCAACATAAACTTCAAACTCCTCTGATCGGTCCTAACTATGAAGTGTCGCCTCAACTGGTAAGGTCTCCACTTCTGCATTGCTAACACAATCATCATCTGTCCCCTTTCATATATTGATTTCAGTCCAGCCTTAGCAAGCAACACTTAGCTGAAATAAACTATGGGCCTCAACCCTTGCATTAGAATTGCTCCCAACCCATAGCTTGATGCATTAGTCTCTATTACAATTGGTTGGTTGAAATCTGGTAGTGCTAACATAGGGACACTAGTCATGGTTTTTTTCAGCTGCTCAAATGCCTGAGTGGCTGCCTCCCCCCATTTGAAATTATTCTTCCTTAGCTGCTTTGTCAACGGTCAGGCTATAGAGTTGTTTCCCTTTACAAACTTTCTATGATATCCTGTGAGACCCAAGAACGCCCTTAGCCCCTTCTGGTTTTTAGGCATTTGCCAATCCACCATCACCTCTACTCGATTAGATTTGCGGACACCCCAGCTCGAGACACTATACATCCTAAGTACTCCACCCTTTGCTTCGCAAAAGAGCACTTCTTCAAGTTGGCATATAGTTGGTGCTCCTTCAAAGTTCCCAACAACATCCCCAAGTGCTCCAAGTGCTCCTTCTCCGACTTGCTATATATAAGGATGTCATCAAAGAATACCAAAGCAAACTTCCGAAGATAAGGCTTGAAAACCCTATTCATGAGTGACTGTAAAATGATAAGGGCATTAGTGAGGTTAAAAGGCATCACCAAAAACTCATAGCGTCCCTTATGAGTTCTGAAAGTCATCTTGTGGGTGTCTTCTAGTCTCATTCTGATCTGGTGATACCCAAACTTCAAATCGTTCTTTGAGAACTCCATCGAATCATGCAATTCATTTAGCAACTCATCAATGACTGGTATGAGAAATTTGTCCAGCACAGTCTCCTTGTTCAAGGCACGATAATCTACACAGAAATTTCAACTGCCGTCCTTCTTCACCAAAACCATAAGACTAGAAAAAGGGCTCACATTGGGCTTGATGATCTCGGCTTCAAGCATCTTCCGAATCAGCCTCTTAATCTCATCCTTCTGGACCTGTGGATAGCGGTATGGTTGGATACTAATGAGAGTGACTCATTCCTTCAAAATAATAGTGTGCTCGTGCTACCGTAAAGGTGGTAATCCTTGAAGAGGTTGGAATACTTCATTGAACTACTGGAGAAGCGACTGAGCTACTTCTGAAATGTCCTTTATCTCCCGGGTGTCTCCTCCCTCCAAGCTCTGGAGCTCCGCTAAGAATCTCAATCCTTTACCCTATGTGGCACGCACCATGGTTTTTGAGGAAACCATTGCTTTGGATAAACTAGGGTCTTCCTTAATCACCAACTTTCTCCCCACCACTTGGATCTCCATAGCTAAGGCCTTCCAGTCCACCTTGGTCTCCCCTCAAGTTTGTAGCCATTTCATACTCAAGATCAGATTCATACTTCCCTACTCAACTGGAAGAAAATCCTCCCTGTTGTCAACTCCACCACTAATCCTTGACAAATACCCCTTCTCTTCTCCTCCTTCCTTGTGCCCATCATCTCCAAAAACATCCCCTATCTATCAGCTTTATCCTAGCTTGGCAACTGTCTGATTATATATGAAATTGTGGGTAGCCCCACTATCCACCAAAATTATCACTGCTTCCACTCCTATCTTTGTCCTCATTTTCATAATGTGATTTGGGGTGAATCCCAATACATAATTCAACAAAATCTCAGCCACCTCTAAGTGTAAGTAGGGGTGTTAATATTTGACACGACACGACAACCGGACCTGAAAAATCCGGGTTCGCAGATTCAACCCGTTTGATAAAATGGGTCGGGTCGGGTTGACCTGGCGGGTTGCCGGGTCAACTCGAAAACCCGTTTATTTTAAAAAATTTTGAATTTCCCGATGCCCCCGCCCGCTGCCCGTGCCAGCGCTGCCTGCTGCCTGCGCTGCTCGCATGCCCCGCGCTGCAGCCCGCGCTGCCCCGCTGCGGCACCGCTGCCCCGCGTACGCGCGCTGCCGAACCTGCATGCCGCCGCTGCCGCGCCGTCGCCGAACCGCGTGCCACTGTCGAACCCGCTCCGTCGCCGAACCGCACGTGCCAAACCGCAGCCCCGCTGCCCCGCGTGCCGTCGCCGAACCTTGCCGCCGTCCGCCGCTGCCCGCGCTGTTTGAACCCTCGCGCGTCGCCCACTGCCGGGTCGCGGGTCGGGTCGGGTTAACCTGGCAACCCGGCCGGGTCGAGTCCGGGTTGAAATGTCCGGCTTGTTTGCAAAAATGGGTCTGGTTTGGGTTGACCCGTTTATATACGGGTCGGGTCGGGTTCGACCCGAACCGATGGTTGACCCGAATTGACACCCCTAAGTGTAAGGGCTCCTCTTCCTCTTCCACTTCTCCTTCTACCTTTACCTGCCTATCTGCTCCTCATCACAAACAAAAAGGACATGAAAGGTGCGAATTTTACACCTATGGCCCGGTGATGTAAGCACAAGCGTTAGAAAACTGAAACAAAGAGAACAATGGATAGAACTCAAACCAGACTCTATTAAAATAGAAGTAATCAACTAAAACACTCAAAATCCAACAAGAAAACACGAAGAGACTTTTAAGAAATAAAGAAAATAAAAACAACGCTATCTTCAGATAACCGTCAGAGCGGGTTCCTCACATGCATCGAATTGTAGGTTAAATAAGATAAGTGCATAAGGCTGGCAAACTGATGGTCCACCACTGCAAGATCGTTCAATTCTTCCAACAGATGCTTCTAAGTTAGCCAACAATCACCACCAAAGCTCAAGAAAAAGGATACAAATGGAGTGGAACATGCGGAGAGACGAAAGAGGTTAGAAGCCAAGACGAAGGGTGGAAAGAGCTCACAAGATTTCCAGAGGAGATGAGAAGAAGAATGGAACAAGCTCGCAAGCTTTTCCAATAACCCGCAGGTCAATAGCAAATTTGCTCACAATAATCAACTCCCCTTTACAAAAACATCTCATATTTATAGGCAAGATAGAAGAATACCAACAAAAACTTTAATTAATTTCCACAAGAACCTAAGCATCAAATCATGGAATTTCCCCATTTGCTTTTTACGGAAAATAGCCTAGCTCAGGAACCGAAGGAGCAACCACGGGAACCAAAGGAACCGCACGGAACCAAGGCATCAAAAGCCACGGGAAAACCCCCAGCTCGGAAAACCAACAGCCACCGTGGGAACCAAGGAGATAATGCTCAGAAATAGCAGCCAACCGTGGAATCCAAGGCACGGAATTCAGCCAGCACAAAAACAAGCCACGGTTTCCCAAGAGACAAGAAGAAAGGGGAAGGAGAAGGGACAAGTCCACTCCAAAATTGAATCCAATTTTATGAGCTTACCTTTAGAACATTAATGAGCTACTAGACATTATCTCAAGCAACTAAGAGAATGAGCTCAACTCCAACCTTCTTCATACATCACCATAGGCCCCAAAACAGCCAACCTGTGAACCAGCAGCAGCCAAGGACCAATTGAGCCATCAAATCAAAGGTCTACCAAACCCCATGCACAGCCTACCATGTTCATTGGATGCTTTCCCATCATTAGATAGCTAAAAAAAGAAAAGAACATAAAACATACTATTGTTCGAATAAAAATAAAAATACAGAAATATTTGATAGCATCACCCGGTGTGAACTTCTCTTCGCACCTAAGACATAGACACTTAGCTCGTTTGTTCTGTAACTCCGTATCAGTCAGCCGTTTAAAGTTCCCTCCTGGCCGAGCTTCGAAACCTTTCTCCTTTGGAGGTTCTCTTAGACCCGATACAATCGACGCCCTAGTTGTAAGGAAGGTGGTCATCGTGCGGTAAGAACCTCCAAAACTTTCTACTCCTCTCAAGTGAGTTCTTGTCCTTTATCAGCTGGGCTAACTCTATAGCCTCTCCCAATTCATGGGGTCTTGCCACCCGCACAGCGGTTCTTAGCTTTGGTTTGAGTCCCTTCATGAAATTGCTTTCTAACACCGTCTCCGGTAGTCTCCCTAAATGTCCGACAGAAGCTCAAATTTCTCTTGGTACTCCATCATCCCACCTGTATCAAACAAAAGAACTGCTCATAATAGTCCCCTTATTGCTTGGTTCAAAATCGCTCCAATAAACAGTCCTTGAACTCCTATGAATGGATTAGATATCTTGTCTCCCTCCATTGGTACTATGTTAATGCCTTCCTCTTGAGACATAGAGCCACTGCCATAAGCCTCTCCCCTTTCGTCAACCCATTCACTGCAAAATATCTCTCTACTCTATAGATCCACCCATGCGCATCCTATCCTTCAAACACCAACATTTTCAGCTTACTAACTCCTCCACCCCAATTTTCTCTTTCTCCCCCCATGCCTCCCATGAAGCGAGCGTTGGGGTCTCTACACAGTTCCCTCTCCTCCCTTCTCCTTTCATACCCCTCTTCCTTCAAATTCAGTCCGACTGATCTCTTGTTTCCATTCTCCTACCTCCATATTCTCTATCCATCATCCTGCTCAGTAGAGGCTCAAGGTGGGTTATTCCCTCTCCTAAAATTTCTACATATCCATCGCCTCTTGGCATGTCATTTCCCTAATTCTTCTTTGCTTCTGACAGAGCCGCTTTAGTTTGAAACTCTAACATCCGCTTCATCTTCTCCTCTTGATTCCCAAACCTTCATTTCATCGCTAAAAAATGCTCATTCAACGATCCCACATCCGTTCGCAGCTGCCCAACTTCCCCCTCCAACTCAACTCTTGTCCCAGCCACTGGCTTCCAAAACTTGCTCTCTTATACTAATTTAATATGTTTTGGAGATCAAATCATCACAAAAAACATCCACTAGAGCGAAATCAGCACCAACCAGCACAAAACGATCACCAAAATCAAGAGAAAATAATAATGTATGGAGGAACAACACCAACAAAACTGAAATAATAATCTTCAATTAAAAAAAAACACAAAATACAATTGATTCATTGTTCGAGAGGTGAATTGGCTTTTGCCCAATTTCATACCAGCAACCAGGAACCCAAAATCACTTAAGAAAAACTACTTCAGAAAATTCTTCACATAATCCCTTCTGCATACAAATTTTTTTCCCTTAAAACTAGCCCTAATCTCGCCATGAATGTACCTCACATTTCCTCCAATGATCTCCCCTTGAACTTTTCCCCACCATAAATGCACCTTATGTTTTCTCTAATGATCTCACGTTAAACTCTTTCCTCCTATAGGTCTGAAATGAGGTGCTAGGACCCACAAAACAAGAGCTTTTTGGCTCTTGAAATGAGGTGGGGTCCACAACTGTATCATATGCATACATACAAACAAACAAAAACAAAAACATTGACAAACTTATAGTGCTTGTTGGCCCAATGTAAACTTGGTGTTCTGATAACCTTCTCTTTCTTATAATTCTTATACCCTACCACTACGGGCTTCTCTGGGTATGATGGAGAACACTAATCCTACTCTTTTGAGATCATCTACCCAATTTGTTAGTCTTTTGGATTGACACAAGATCAAATTTGGTATAAAATTATATGCTGGAAGTAAGGTGCCAAAATTATTTCTTAAAGAGTTTGTTGGTAACATCTCATCCTTTTCTTCCACAGGGACAAAAAATGCATCTTCATTTAAGGAAAAGTTGCCCTTAGTGTTGATTAGGGAAGAAATTTTCATTTTTAATAAATCATTTGAGTTAATCCTTGTTTGTAAGTTTTTTCTTTAGGCATTTTAGTGTGGGTGTTGATTAGGAAATACTTTGATGAGTTGGGCCTCTTTGGTTACTTCTTAGTTGGCCTTCTTGATGTAAGACTCATACTTGTACTCGTTGCTTTGTGGCATAATTACATTTGCTTATTCTTGCGCGTATCATAATATTTTTTTCGGCTTTACTCGAAGGATGCAAAAATGGGCCCCTAATTTCATCCTAATAGTGAACAGTCGATTGCTCCTATTTGGTTAGCTTTTTCTTATCTAAGAGCTCATTTCATAAACCATTAAGTCATGCCCTCCCTTAATGTGATCTTTTGGTAATTTTTTGTTGGTGGATGCTGCTAGTGCTAAGTTTACTAGGCCCTTCTATCTCCTGAGTGCTTGTTGAAACTGATGATAATTTTGAATTTTAAATGTTGAAGAAGGATATTGGCAGGAAGTCAATTTGGATAATACCCTTTCGTACTATCAAAAATGTAAGATGCACAAATATAACATTTAATATTGCAATGTAATTCATCAAGAATTTAGAGAATAAAATGTTTTTGGGGTCATGATTCCTATTGTTGCATCAAGAGGGGATTGTTTTCAAATGGGAGTTTTAAGGTGGAGTCTATTTTATCTATTAATCCTTTTGAGCATCAATTTACTATGGTTCTCATGTACACTTTATGATGATAAGAATTTCTAAGATTGTTTAATTAATAATTAATCATAATAATAATGGTTTGTGCATGCATGTTCATAATCCAATTGGGAATCAATTAGCTTAGATCCCTGGGATGATTTCTGTAGGTGATAATATTATTGAAGTTGTTTTACTTATTCAAACTAATTTTGATGTAGAACTCTAATGTTTTGAGTTAATCCTTCTCTCCTTCGAAAGAATCATTTTTGAGAATCCTGCTCACCTTCTAATGTGTATAATGATTGTCCTACTTCCTTAAGTGATGCCTTCTCCCTATTGCCTTAATGTCCTGAGTGTAGGGGAGCTTATCTCTTATAATCCTTTAATTAATATTTCAATCACTCTTAACACCCATCCTCTAAAGTATTTTGTTGGAGAGATTCCTATTATTATAGCTAGGTATATTTGAATTCGGTTACAAATCCTGAGTTTGGTTGGGGATAGTTCATTGGCTTTAGATGAGCCCTCTGATATCAGATTAATTTCGACTCTAAAGTTGATCATCAAGATTTCATTTGCTATATGAGAAATAGATGAAAAAGATAAACCTTATCTTAAGATGCCTAAAATTCACTAGTTTATCCTCCAAACTCCAATGACATGCTTCTTGCTTTTAGCTTAGGTTTAGTTATTTGTGGTTTTTGATGATCTCTATAATTGCTTTGCTTTGATATTATTGATACTCTTTTTTATTCTTATTTTAGTAGTTATCCCTCATCATCTATCCTGGTGACCATTTCTTTTTATGTTATCCTACTTATGAATATATGATGCTCGTGGTTCTCAGTCCTTATTATATAAATACTAGTTTTACTTTAGAATTCATTGTTACTAAGCAATTGTTTGAGTTTTGATTTCTCTCATCATATCATTTTGGTGGTTGGACTTTTGCTCATTCTTTATTTATGTAGCGGTTGACGTCATTCTTCCTCGCTTTACTTAAATGAATTTTATTGCAATAGTTGCAATCTAATGTTTGTATGTTGATTTGTCCTATTCGGTTTCTTATTCTATGCCCCACTTTGGATTGCCATGAGTAGCTGATTATTGTTGTCTATGTTGGCTACTCTCGATATTGGGCTTAAGTTGTTTGCTTAATTGTAGTTGATACAACAATTTTTCTTTTAGGTATTTTTAATGTTGTTTGGAAATTAGTTTCATTGGCTTATAGTTGGTCTTCTCATTCGCTTTCCCAATTACCTTATATCATTTACTTATCGGTTGCGGTTGCGCTGCTACTTATGTTGTTTATTGATGTCGTGGATTTAATAGGTGAGAATTATTATGAAGTAAATAAGATAATGCTGAAATAATGAAGGAAAGCTTAAGAAGATTTCGTGTAATGGGCTTGTATTAGTATTATAAATCAAAGTTCTTTCTTGAGGATTATGTGATGCTTAGTTATGGACTTTTATAATTTGGATTTGTTATACAAAGGAATAAAAACTTGATGAGGATATGGTTAATAGGGTCATGGCTTGGTTTTTGAAGCATGGTGACGATATTAGAGGATTATGTGATAACATAATGTCTCAATGAGAAAAATTATTCAAAACAACAATAGTTGAGTGTGAAACAACAAAGACCCTATTTAACAAGTTTAAAAAAAAAAAAAAAAAGACCTCGTTAACAAGCAAGTTGAGTGTAGCAGGAATGAAATTCTTAAGTTGAATGGGCATAACTATTGTAATAGATAGAGTGAAGAGGTTGCACTTATTACAAGAGTGAGTGGATGATGAGCATGAAAGAATGATATACAGTATTACGTAAAAGGATTAAAAATACAATGCTAAATGAAAATATAATTTGGTTAGAAATTATGTTAAACATTTTGATGGAATAATACATGAAATAAAAATGAGTGTCAGAGAACGATTTATTAAAAAAAGGCACAAATTTCTGGGATGACTTATAACGATGGAGATAAATTTTTAATGTCTTATGGCACAAGCTTTTGTATATGGTAATTACTCCTTAGTATGCTAATAGACATTTTGTCAACTTTTAGAAGTTTCATGAATACTCAGTAAATTTGTTATTTAACTTCCATTCACCGTAGCATAGCATTACACTCTCAGCAAAAGCTAATTTCTCTCTCCATTTCACATTTGCGAGGGATACTAGAGTCATATTCAATTAACTATTTTTCATTGAAGAAAAATAAGGTCATTCGCAAGGAGACAACAAAATGGGTATCATTCCTGTGAACTTTGAACCCCTCTTTGTTATGAGCAAACCCCAATACTAATTATATTTATTATTTAAGAGCACATAACAATCACGTGAAATTTTTTTGCTAGAAGTGGAGAAGAGGATGATTAGAAGTCTCTCTGTTATAGGAATGTCTCTTTTTTTATCTTTTTGATTTACTTTCTGACTGAAATTTGGTATGGCTTGAGTTTGTTTCCTAATGATGAAGGCATAAGGATGAGGTATTTATAGATGTTAAATCGGCTTGAGATAGCTTTGCGATGGATAATGATGCGAAGCATTTTTAGTTTATAATATCCCTTAGGTTATTTAATTTAATTGTTACAAGTTTTTTAAGAATTTTTAGGATTATCTAGGTTTCACTTACTTTAGAATTATATGTAGGGAATGTGTAAGAGGAAATAAAACTCATCGATGAATATTATATGAATTGAAGCCTTTGAGCTTGGTTGTCCTCTTGTTCTTGGAAATCCTTCAAGCATCATCTTCTTCCAATGATCCAACGATTGTCTCCAACTACATCAGTTGGTATCAGAGCCCGGAGCTTGCGAAGAACGATGGATTGCAAAAGGTGGGCTGTCGACGACAATCGAAGCCGAAGAAAATGGGCGGTCAACGAAGATCGATGCTGAATAAGAAGGGCGGTCGACGAAGATCGACACCGAAGGAAATGGGCGGTCGATGAAGATCGACACCAAAGGAAATGGACGGTCGACGAAGATCGACGCCGAAGGAGATGGGAGGCGGACGATGATCGACTCCGAAGGAGATGGGCGGTCGACGAAGAAGAAGACGACTATCCTCCGCTCCAACTTCCACTCCAATGGCTAGATCCGCCGGCCCCACTATCCTCATGAAGAGAGCCGCCTAAGAAGGGTTGTTGATCGTGATCGACGCCGCGAAGCCCTTCGGTTGGCTCAAGTGGAAGCATCAATTGATCGAATAGATTCTTTATGTGTTAATTTCATTCAATCGGTGGACAGAATCATGGGCAGTCCTGCAACCATACCGTCCTCGTCGCTCCTCTACTCCACCAACACGCAGGCACAACCGACCCTACTTCCTCCTGCAGATTCGCCTGCATTTTAGTCGCTCCAGCAAAATGCAACCCTCGAGCTTGCCGAGCAATCCCATGCCAAATCATCGCCTATTGTAACGGAGGAAGTAACTGCCTCTGCCACTCCGCCATTGCCACTCGCTCCTTCCTCCAGCCCTTCTATGAGGCATCCAAATCTCGAATCCACAGAGAAACCCTTCTATGAGCTCATAGGTGAGAAGTACCCTTCTTCGCCAGATCAATTCCCTCTCTACTCTAGTCCAAGCCTTGAGACCCTGGATAGCAACAAGAGCCATAACTCAAACAACAGTGGAATCCAATCCTTTCACGACAACTCTGAATTCTCTGAGTACCAAAATTACCAGATTCCACTTTCGCAGTCTTCTCTTAGCTTCGTTAATGGAAATGGTAACGATCTTTTGTTCAAAACCCTCCCCACTATCCAGTTCGAGAAGGGAATCGAAGAAGCCAAGAAGTTCCTCCCAAGTATAGACAAGTTGGCCGTCAAAGTTGGAGAAATAAATCTGACCTTGCTACAAAACCCCATCAAACAGGAGAGAAGGCAGAAGAACCTCCGTTTAGATGATTCAGGCTTCGAAGAGACGAGGAGAATCAACCAGTTGGCTTTCTCCTACGAAGAGCCGGTTATTCCCTTGGTGATGTTCGACGATGTACTGCTCTGTAGCTGTGAAAGGTTTCCCCAAGACGTGAGTGCAATTCGAGAAAAGGTGTTCACAGAAGCGGGAAAGGATTCCAAAAATTCCATCCCCAATGAGTCAGGCGTTAGTCGGAAGTCTCGCCAGAAGAAGCAACTGAAAGAGGAGGTTGTGGATTTCAACATTTTTCTTCTCCACTGTACACAGATCGTGGCCAACAACAACAACAACCTTAGAGGCTACGAGTTTTTGAAACAAATTCGGCAGCATTCGTTTCCTCATGGCCATGCCTCTATGAGGCTCGCACACTACTTTGCCAATGGTCTTGAGGCCCGTCTTGCCGGAACCGAGAGGGCGGTACTTCTGAAACAAATTAGGATGCTTAATGCTGGATATGTGTGGATAGATACAGATTGGCTTTCGTCAATCTTGGATTCTTCCGGAAGTGCTGATCCTGCAACCATGAGTTTAATTCAAGGGGCCATCGTTCTTCGTCCTCATACACCATATTCAAATATCAAACAAATTTTTTTATCGAGATGAAATAAATTGCTTCAGAAACGAGATGTAAGTTCAAGCTTGAACTCTTATGGGTTGTATGCATATGACACTGTCTGGCTAGTTGCTTATGCTATTGACCAGTTTCTTAATGAAGGGGGTACTGTATCTTTTTCAAATAATCCGAGGTTGACTGATGCGAATGGAAGCTCATTAAGAGCAATCCTTCATGCTTGTGCCATATTGACAGTCCTCGAGATGGATTACTGGTTCAGGGATGCGCCATTCATCATGGCTTCGCGCCATTTGTCCATGTTTCCAATGGTTTAGTGAACATGCATGCTAAATGTGGTGACATCAAAAGTGCCAGCAAAGTGTTTGATGAAATGAAAGAAAAGGAGTTTGGAGTTGTATTTGCATATGTTGGAACTCGTCCGCCAGATCAGCTTTGCCTAGTAGGTTTTGTACTAGAAAAAGCATAAGAAGTTGGTTTTGAGAATGACTTGTAGAGGATTTTATTAGCTCCAGCACTAAAATGGGTAGCATTTATTGATTTCTTGCTTGTTTTGCGAGACAGATATGTTGTTGCTTCTACCCATAGAGATGCAAAATAGTGGAAGGCCAAAGAAACTAATACCACTAATGAATGAGATCGTGGACAGGCCAAAGCAACTAATACCACTAATGAATGAGATCGTGGACATACATCGAAGTTGCAAAATCTTCGATCCAGGAGGATGGCACATCTCGACGGAGTCAAACTCTTTTGATGCAAGGGGAGAATGATGCAGAGTATTTTTACCTTATAATATCTCTTAGGTTATTTAATTTAATTGTTATAAGTTTTCTAGAATCTTCTAGGATTCTCTAGGTTTCCCTTACTTTAGAATTATATATAGGGAATTTGTAAGAGGAAAGAAAACTCATTGATGAATATTATATGAATTGAAGCATTTGAGCTTGGTTGTCCTCTTGTTCTTGGAAATCCTTAAGCATCATCTTCTTCCAACGATCCAACGATTGTCTCCAACTACATCAGATAACAACTCAAGAGCCATAGGCAACTTATTCTAGTAGTGATATGCATAGCATATCACGTTGCAATCTATAGGAAGTGAAGTGGTACACATCGAATGATCATAAGATAATTGGGCGGTTTTCTAAGGAAGATATGCGACATGGCCATTGTGGAGGACATTGATTCTACAAGCTGTGGCATTCAATTTGTATGGAACCACATGACATTTGGTAAGTAGTTGGAGCAAGCGATGATAATTGTTTCAATTTTAAGATAAAATAGCATAATCTTCTTGTGGCTAATCCAGCCTATTGAGTTTGGGTTGTATACTACTAATAATTTCTAGGTTATCTGATCGAACTCAACTCGATATATCAAATATTAATGGGATTGAGGCGGATCTATTATGGATAAGCCAGGTATTGTTGTTCGACTGAAATAAGTGGTCAAAACGGACCAGCCTCCCCATAATTTTTAGCATCCTCTAGCCAAGCATTGGGTTTATTTGATCTTGGGTCAGTGTTCTAGATTCGACAAATTCTAGATTCGACGAACTTAATTTTGCCATCTCATCAATTAAGTCTTCGAATCAATAATAAGTACATTAATAGTTGTGACGAGGCCTATGGATCTTGGTGTTATGCCAAACAAACTCAAGTGTAAATTTAGCAACCCAAAGATCCACAACTTAGCCCGTTAACAACTGATAAACCAACACAATCTAGCTTAATGGAAATCCAAATCAATATGTTGATTTGCATCATAAGTTCCCATTTTCTTTTCTGCCGGCATCCTCCCTTTCATTAAGAGAGCTTGGACAGTTGGACCAGAATCACACATCTCTGCATTAAGTGTGTTGCATAGAAATAACCAAAGCACCTCTACTTTCCATAAACAAACCTCAGACCTGAACATCAACCATCTTACTGTGATGGTTCACTTTAGCGCTTGGTGTGCGTATTTGCGTGGTTTAGTGGTTTTAAGCTCTACAGGTACTAGCTGCCATATTAAGACCAATATAGGCAAGAAAATCTAAGTTTAATTCTCAAATGACAAAATTTCTACTAATCTGCAAGTGATGTCTACAGATTTCTCGTTTGTTTTCTGAACCCCATCATAATTGAAAAAGTATAAAACTTGAAATTTTCCAGTTGTTGCTGAATCTAATAATCTTCAAATTGAATCAATGTAGTTATGTTTGGTTGAGGGAGTAAGGGAAAATTAATTTTATTTGGCAAGTGATAATTTTAGATTTTCTGTTTGTTTTTTTGGTTAGGGTGAGATATAGGATAGGGAAGGATTAGTGGATTGTTGTGTTCCAACTATTCACTAATCAAGTATTACTTATGTTAATTGTTTTCAAACTTTGCATGTCTAGCATGCACACACTCACTTAGCCTAGGCTCTCCTAGTTTTAAGGACTTGATTGTGTTTAGATGTGCTTGTTATGCTTGTCCAAGGGTTAGTAGAACTTTGATTCAAACCTGCACAAACCAGTGATATTATTAAGGATTTAAGGATAATAATTAAGGATCCATGTCCAGAAAACTTAAAATAATTTTAGAAAATAGGATATACCTCCTATGATATGAAATTTGAACAATTTGAACCTAGTGACATCTACAACCCATAGAAAATTTTTTACTGATTTTAAAATCATTAAGATATCTAATTAATTAATCCTTTAATTAAGCATAAAAAACTTCCAAAAATTCCAATAAACCCAAATTAAATCAAAAAAATACATATAATACCTCAAACTGATCAGAATTTAATTTCCAACTTAAGAAAAATAAAACCGCTTTGATTTGACATCAGATTGAAGCTTAATTTTTTTTAATTGAAATCAATATTTAATTAATATGGAGATTTACCTTCAACCTTTTTGTTTGTATACCTAACAAGTTTATTTGGCACTTTTAAGCCTTTGTAAAGAGAAGAATGTGTCGGAGCATGTTGATTTTTCATGATCATCGTTATCATATTTTATATATCTTTCTTGTGATTGCTCGTAGTTAGCATGATTAGGTAGATAAATGATAGATTGATCCTGAAGATGAGGTAAACTTGGTAGAATAGAATTTTCCACCTGTGTTTTAATATGTGCATGCTCATGCACACATGGATTAAACGAGTAAGGCATTTTGTTCGAGATTAAATTTTCCCAACGTTCAAAATTTTGATTATTCGGATGAGTCAACATTTTATGTAGCAGTTTTTCCGAGTGAGCTTCTATATTTTCATGCAAAGTTTGAGTAAAGTAATTGGAGATTCTCCGTTTCCTTGGCATTATGTACTGTTCATGCTTGATTGTTTTTGAAGGATGCAACACAAATTAGTTTATTTTTTGCATGTCTTTGTATAATTAGCTTTTTTGATATGGTAATTGAATCATGGTATGTATGCAATTGTCATTTACTGTGGTTTTAGTCATCATCCAGTTAGTGGTAGTTTGATTCTTTTGGGACCTGATAGTACCATAGTGGTATATTTGATATTTTCCTCAGGGTTAGAGCAAGCTTGTCAGTTTTTGCCATAGAAGTAGTCATTTGAGTGCCACAGGAATGGGCAATGAATGCCAACTATGAGATGAGGCGGACCACACTTGGTGCATAAGGTAAGGTAAGTGTGGGGGGCATTATTAGGGTAGGGCTATCCTGTTTAAACTAAATTGGGTGCATAATAACCAATGCATGAAAGCCATTTTCAATGTGGTATTATTCTTAAAATGTGTGCATAGTTTTTCAACTTTACCTTTTGCCTTCCACAAACTCTTTTCCTCGGACAGAAAAGTCATCTCGCATCAGTGCACCTCTGCCATATAATTTGCATTATAAGGTTTATCATCACTAATATGAGGCAATATTCTTATTTTCCTTTGATGTTGAATGGTAGCCGGATAGTTAGTATTTGTCACTTGCTCATAATTAGCTAGTCATATTTGTTTTCAAATTTAAATCTTTACCTGAGTAATAGATCTAATGGAAATATTATAATGGGGATCAGTTCATCTTGCATGATTTTGGTTTTTGCCTCCGTTATGCTTACATGAAAATAGAACAACCTGTGTTGATTTCAAATAGGCGTGTTCTTGGCCTGTTATTTAAAGATATTTGACTATCAGCTTCAATTTAACAGTTGTGACTTGACAATTTGATTTGTATGCCAATGTTCTTCATGTTATTTGAGAAGAATTGTTCTTGTGGTAAGCAGAATCCCAAATTAAGAACTGGTTAGAAGAGTTGATATGGAGATGTACTCTTTGTTCTTGTTTTGTAATTTCTTTTTTCCATGCTTCTTATCCTAAGCTGATGCCAATGGTTTTGTATTAGGCTGCTGAAGGTTCCACTTTTACTTGCATGCTTGGCATTTTGAATTTGATGCCAATTCGCCATTGATATATCCTGTTTTGGAACAGAGCAGAGGCTGCCTTGGTTGCTATACTAAACCTACTCCAATAACAGCTGTGGATGAGCCCTCAAAGGGCTTGCAAATCCAAGGCCAATCCATTAGAAAACCTGGTTTATCTGACGACTTTTGGAGTACAAGCACATATGAAATGGAGAACAGTGGAGTTCAGTCTCAACGAAGCATCTCTTCAATTAGTACATCAACTCAAACTCTTGACTCCCACGGTGGAACTGGAAGTACAAGCAACCCTTCAGAATTTGTGAATCACGGTTTGTTTCAAACGGACATGCTCTTATTTATTAGCTAATCTGATATGATGACTTTTCACGTCATTGTTAACCTTTTCCCAACTATTTAGTGTTGGCTTTATGCTGTTATGGATTTTTTTCCTTTTAAACTCTTGATATTTTAAGTTCATTTTGAAGCAGGTAAAGATGATAATTAAAAGGAAATAACAAAGCATAAACAGGAACATTTTCCTGATAGCATCTTGAAAGCGAGTCAACAAATGTTGATTAACAAGAAACCTTTTTGACAGATAAAATTCATGAAAAGGAAATTTGGCTAAGAAATATTCAAGTTTAACTACAAACCCACAATAGTTGAAATGCTGCTCAAGCAGATGGTGACGGTCACTTGTTGGCTCCTTCAACTTGCTAAAATAATTTAGGAACTATGCCTGATATGCATAGCAAACAGAATCTGATATGGGAAACTTAGCAAATTTTTTGCAGTTTTGATATGGTAAACTTAGCAGATTCTTGTCTACTGTTCGACTAGAGGAGCATTTTGTTTGTTCATAATACTTTTCTTAAGAGAGATGATTTCATTGCTGTTATCTGGTCTAAATCTATCATTATAAATGCTTTGATTATACCCTAAGCAGCCCACATAAAATGCAGGTTTTCTTCTATGGAACCAAATTAGGCAGCAATGGATTGGCAATAAAAACTCACAAAAAGTGTCTGAGCAGGTTCGAGAACCAAGGTTAAGGTGTGCTTTTTTCTTTGCATCTAATTGATCCAGCATAGAAATTGCTAATTTCATATCATATCATATTTCTTTCAGTTACAATTCATCTTTCCATTAATTTCATCCCTTGTTTGTCAGGAAAACAGTACCAAGTACCTTCTTAAATGGGTTTTGATTTGGTCTTGGTATTTGAAGCCTTAACCCTGTTAGCAGAGAATCTATTTTTGTGCTTTGAGCCATGTTCCTTGGTCACAATTAGTCGTAATGAGGGTAACCTAACTGCCTTTATCAAGACAAACCTTTATGTTCAAGCATCTCATGTTAAATCCAAATTTCCTTAACTTTTTAGGGATATACCTGATTGCTCATGTGCATGTAAAATTTTCTTACAGTAATAACTATATTCAGGTATATCTGTTACACAAAGCGTCTGTTATGATCTCATTAACTTGATAAGAACAATGAAGGCTGCATGTATCGGAAAAAAAATCTCGTGGGTTTCAATTAGCTGTGATAGGTTTCTCTTTGTTGGTGATTGTTCTTGAAGGTATGAGAAAGCCTAATCGTTCCAAGAAGATCTCTAATATTAGCGAGGTTTTCTTGTGTAGATTATAATGGTAATAGGGAGAAGATCAGGAATAAAGGTGATATTATAAAGTTGTTATATATATATATATAAATTTTTTTAATTTAATTATAATATATTCGAGACTAGATTGCTTGTTTTATTGCTTTGATAAAAGATTTGGAAATCAATTGGAAGAAGAAACAATGTGAGAGAAGTAAAATCTAGAGAGAAAAAAAATTGATAAAATATTTGAGGATAAATATTTAAATTCTATACGCATCTTGAAAGCTGGTGGAATATACCTCTGTGCAGTCATGGTTGTAGATAAAACCTCGGAAATCTGTCTCTTATTTTTTTTTTCTTGTAGTTTATTTTACCCACCCTTTCTTATTGATCGTCATTGCTCATACTTTCCTAAACAACTAGCATTAATGCTGTGCTTCAAGTTCTTAGAAGGAAAAAATGGGAGCAATTGTATTCACTAATGGGAAGGTGAATATCAACAAGTTTGATATAAGAATTTCGAGTAAGAGAAGATACAGATTGAGGATTACTTGTACCAAAAAAATCTGCATCTGTCTCTTTAAGGCAAACCCTACTACCATGAGTATGAAAAATAGGGATCTCCTAAACAAATATGCATTGGGAGGTGTATGCATGATGTTGACAAAACAATATTGTCTTCCATATATTGCATAAGAATACCTTAATTGAATTGATGAAAGTCACTTGTATAAGAAGCATTCAATGTTGAATAAGGTATATCTAATGAATAGGTCAATGGCGAAAGGAGTTTATGCGATGGTGCCAATCAAAAAATTTAATTTAATCATTACAAGTCTGTTTAGTTCTGTTGATATCAACTTCAATGATGAAGTTCACTTTCGGAGAGTTGATATGGAATAAAATGATTAAAAGTTTATGAGGGTATACAAATTTGAAACTCAATGATGTCTGTGAATTAATCTTAAGCAAGTACATCATAAGGAATAAATATGTTATCATCACTCAACCCTTAACGATTGCAATTTGCAAATACTAAACTAATTAAACCTAATATTTACATAAATTTGTAGTTCTATCATGAATTTTTGGAAATCCATTTGTTATTTCAGGCAAATGTTGATTTGGCCTAGCAAAGGCACCATAAACGTCTCATTACCTTTTCTTATAGTGAACCTGATGTGAAACAACCAACGGAATTGCAAGATCTTATTAAGAAATTTGTTTCCGCAATGAAATTATAACATTAATGATTCACTAAGTTTAGGATTTTCAGTTTTCGTAGTTATTGACTTGCTTCTAGCATGCTGTTACACGTTAGATTAACAGAGCGATCCGGAATAATGACAAGAAAATAATAAACAAATATGCGATTAACAATAATCCACCTCTTAACAATTAGAACTTTCACCTTAGAGTTTTGTTTGACCGGTCCAGCCGGTCCAGGCGGGACCGGTTCACGGGCAAAATCGCGAAACAGCTCTGCCTGGGCGGAAGCCGCGCGCGAGACACGCCTTGCGGGACGGTTTCGGGAAGGAAAATTGAGGAAGTTTAGGAGGGAAATTGATTGCAGGGATTGTTTAGGGAATTCCTTTTGAATTGTGTGCATTAAATAGATGTTTTTCCTAGGGTTTGGGTATCTTGAATTTGGGCTGAAATTTGAGATCTCTTAGATTTAGGTTTTCTTTGGGCTCTAGCGGCGTCTAGAGATTTGGGAGAGATCGATCCTCCTCTCGAATTGAGGATCAATTGTATCTTTGTTGTTTTCTTCTTCTACTAGTAAAATACAAGTTTTTCCTACGAATTTCTCTCAGTTTTCTACAGTTTTTTTCGCTGTTTTTACTGTTTTCCTGCTCCGGACAGCAGTATTTCGCGGAGTTTTGTTGTAAAGGTGAATAGGAAATACTTGATTTCAAGTGTTTCCTATCAAGTTTCCCTCTCGATCGTTCCTTGGAAGTAGGTTTAGCGGAGGACAAAGGTTAGCAAGCCCAGTGATGCCACTGCGAGACAGAGGATGCCAGAGATTTTGATCAACGGAGAGTTGGCCAGAGTTGGAGAGGCGGGTGGTCGTCCTGCGATCTTCCACGATTCTGTAGGTTGTTGCTCTTCAATGATGTCCGCCAAAATAAAGAGAATACGCTCCATGTATTCTTCGATGGTGTCTTCAGACCCAAATCCGGGATCGAAGAACGGTGATTGAATGATGTCGACTTCCTCCTGAGAATTGTAAACGAATCCGTGATCAACTTCCGGATCCACCATTTATGTTCGTATTGAATGAAGAAGGGAAGAGAGGGAGAGAGGGGAGGTGGAAGTGGCAGTTTGGGAGGGAGATGGGCTTGGCCGTGAGCTAGAGGGAGAGGGAGGAGGTGGGCCGTGTGGGTGGAGTTGGGGCTCGGGTGAGGGAGACTCGGGGCGGGTGGTTAGGTAGTGGGAGGGAATAAACATGAATTTAATTTCAAGTTTCCAATAAAAGAAGGGATTAATTTCAAATTCAGAATTTTAAATTTGAAATTAGGCTAGGAGGGAAGGGGGATTAATGGTGTTTTAATGGGAGAGAGAGGGTGGAGTGGCCGGCCATATAGGGAGCATAGAGGGGCTTGGGATTTAAGTAAGTGGGGCCCATCGGTTATTAAATATATTCTAATCAAATTTGATTTTAATTTCAGATTTGATTAAATTTAAAATAACTTCCCAATTTGGTTTAATATGAGAGGGAAAAGGGTTTGAATTTCAAAATAGGTTTAAATTCTCTTAATTGACTTTCCTAAATAAAGAAAGACTAATTAGGAAGTAATTTAATCAATAGGAATTTGAAATTAAAAAAAAAGGGGTTGGGTCAAAGGGGAGCCGGCGGCAAGGTTGGAGGTCAAGGGGCGGTGGGCTGGCCGCCGGTCGTGGGAGTTGGGTGAGCCGCCGGTGGCTGGATCGGCCAAGAGATGCCGGCGGTGGAGCTATTGGGACCGGTGGGGAATTAGGAGGGTGGTGATGCTTCGATTAGGTAGGGGAAGAGGAAGATAGGTGTAGGGGAAAGGGAAAATCTAGAGAGCTACAAATCTCAAGTTCCACCTCCACTAGAACTCACAAAGAGATCCTCAAGTACCACCTCAAAAACTCACAAAGAGATCTTGAGAATTTTCACGAACTCACAAAGAGATCAATAATAGAAAATTTCATTCATCAACATTATTATTAGCCAAGAATTCAAAGACTAGGCCTTCATATATAGGCCTCCAAAGCACAAAATGTAAAAGACACAAATGCCCTCAGGCTACAACATGACACAGATCCCTCATAGGGATACAAATGGAAAACTGAAAAATAAATAAAAGAAATGCACTAAGACACATAAATAAAAACCAATGCTTTTAAAATCGGACCGGGCCGGCCGGTTGAACCGCGAACCGGCCGGTTACGGTTCTTGTTAAAACCGGTTTCGCACAAAACCGGTATTGAACCGCTCGAACCGGCAGTTTGACCGGTCCCGGTTTTTAATAACCGGCCAGTCGTATAATTCATTCGGATTAAAGCTATGCCACGCCATGATGCGGGAGTTGTTGAGCAAAAGGTTGCCGTCTCTGCACCATGAGATGAATGCCTGGTTGGGAGGGGTTGAGTCTAGACGGGCGCCGGCGGCAGGGGTGGGCAGCCGCTTTGGAAGGGGTGCGTGCGTAGACAGAGAGGGAGTAGCCAGCGACGAAGATACGACCAGCCATGGCGGCCCCCATCACACTGGTGCTGATCCTGCCAACACAGGTCTTGTCTCAACACCTGTCGACTGCGCCACCGGTGCCCGTCTTGCCTCAAGCCCTGCCGACGCTGCTGTGGATCTATTCGACTGCAAGGAGGTCATTTTTGATGAGTTGCGGGAGAAAATAAATGGAGCTCAAAGATGCCACTGTAGGAGACGAGAATGGCGGAGGATGAAAGCTGAGAAGATGTTGGAGATGGTTGAGACGATGTCGGAGAAAGCTTAAGGCTTTGTTGCTGGGAGAAAAAAGACAAATAGAGTGGTGTACAGAACTCCACGTCTACCTTTTCTACTTTTTATTTTTTATTTTTTTATCTTATATGAGAATAGTCAAAACACTATCTCAAACGAAGACCAAATATTACCAATTATATACTTATAAATTTTAGATCCTCTCATAGAATTAAATATATGATTATTTTTTAAATATAATAAATATTTATTACGTCATCCGGTTCGACCCCGGTGGAACCATCGAACCGCTAACCTCTTGTTTTTCCGGTTCATTGTCCGATCCGGTTTTCAAAGCCTTGATAAAAACTATGAATCATAGCCGTCGATCTACGATCCTGCCGATGTTGAAATGCACGGAGGATGTCCTCATCAGAACCTTTCTATATATGACTGACCTCCTTCACTTTCTGACATACCAAAAGCAAAAATCAGAGCTTGTAATTGCATTGGATGGAAGGATGAAGTTTGTATCTTATATACCTGTTAAAAACTTTGGTTTTTATTAATTTTTTTTTTTTTTTTAATTTTGACTTTCTGGGATGTTTCTTATTCATGATGCTTTTTTTTTTTTTTGCTTTTTGTAATTGTCTACTTGACACTGCCATAATTGCTGATGCTACATGAACCCTAGTCATTTAGTGACACTTCAAACGTTCCTTATACTTTGCTTATTTGTTCTTGCTACAGTTGGAATGCCACATATGACAGTTTGCTTGGGAGCAACAAGCGCTTCCCACAACCTATCCCTCTACCTGTAAGATACTACTGCCCTCATTCCCATCATTTACTAATCCAATAAAACTGTGAACTATTAGGTGACCAAACTGTGAAAGAGCTACTAAAGAGTGTTCACTTAGTAGAAATACATCAAAGGTCAATATTGAGTTAATTTTTTCAAGATTTGTTATAAAGATTATTATAAATGATATTTCTTAATGCGCTTTTTGCAAATAATGTATTTAGAATTAGTAGAGAAAAGATTTAATATATGACAAATAATTTTAGTGGGGTTGGTATTAACTATTATGGGCTAAATTTATTATAAGGCAAAGTGGTATCGGAGTTTGATAACTTTATTCGTCAATGATCAATATACTAAAGAGTGGATATATAGATTGGGATTTTACTTCAAAAGTTAAATATCGGCCAACCCCATATAGCGGGACAAAGGTTTGATGTTGTTGTAGTTATTGTAATTAATTGATGGTGTTATGTGGACCCGATTGTTTGACAATAAAAAAAAAAAATTATTGATAACTAAGGTTTCGTTTGGGACAGCTTTCTTACTGCTTTCTAAATCAACTTTCTAGTCAACAACATCAAGCCTTTATCCAGTCTTTTTAGGTCTGCCTCTACCTTTCTTAACATAAGTCAAATCTAATACCTCTACTCTCCTAACCGGGTCATTGGAAGGCCGCCGTTTTATGTGACCAATCCATCTAAGGCGACTCTCTCTAATCTTATCTTCTACTGGAGCTGCTCCAACCTTTTCACGTATATGCTCATTTCGTATCCTATCTCTAAGGGTAAAGCCACTCATCCACCTGAGCATCCTCATCTCTGCCACACTTAACTTAGTATTATACTTCTCTTTTAATGGCCAACATTCAGCACCATAAAGCATTGCAGGTCTCACTACCATCTTATAGAATTTTCCCTTAAGTTTGAGGGATACTTTTCTATCACACAACAAGCTCGATGCATTCCTCCACTTCAACCATCCAACTTGAATTCTGCTGATAATATCCCCATCTATTTCACCATCACTCTGAACAATAGATCCAAGATATCTAAAACATGTACTATTATTAATGACTTGATCGTCCAAAGTCACAATCTCCTCACTAGGTCTATTACTACTAAAATTACACTCCATATATCAACTTTCTACTATAAAAAAATTATTGAACTAAAAATTTTTGTACTAAAAAGCTGTCTCACCTGAAGCCTAAGAAGGTAGAAATGAAAATATTAAGATGTGACAAATTTAAGGATAATTTAAGTAATGATTGTATTAGTATAATGGTTGAAATTAGTATGAGAGGATTAAGAAGACAAATTGTTAGACTTAGGTTTCGTTTGGGACAGCTTTCTTTTTGCTTTTCAAAGCAGATTTTTAGTAGAAAAAAATTAAAATTAATTTTTTTCTATTAAAAATCTGCTTTAAGAAGTAGTAAGAAAGCCGTCCCCAACGAAGCCTTAAGGTAATACAGATACAAAATTTTCAAAATGAAAATAATATATTTAGTACCTCTTAACAACAATCACAAGAACAAATTAAAAAAAAATGAGGAACCATGGAGCCAATTCTAAGTAGTTGAGATAAGGCTAATGATGACTTCTTTTTTCCCCCTCTTGCTTGGCAGGAAATGGTCGACTTTCTGGTGGATGTTTGGGAGCAGGAGGGTTTGTATGATTGATTAGAGGCCTCAAATAATTCATTACTGATGAAAACTTAGTTCCTTTGTATCAAATTTTAGCTTCTTGAGATTCATTACAGAAAGCCGTAAATCGTTTACGGCCAGCTTCTCACCCATATTCTGTGTGACTCGACATCTCTTGTTATATTTACTTGTACTACTTTAAAACATTTGAAATTCAGCAATGGATGAAAGTTGTGAATCGACCAATTTTTTTCCTTTGATTTTTTTCTTAACCTTCCATTTTGATGGTATTATGTTTGAGTTCTAATTATTCGATTTCTCCTAATTATTTATAGGGATGAAAAGTCATCCAAGAGAAAAATAAGCTCTAAGCGTGAATGAATCGAGCTGATTTGATTATAATTCGTTCATGATCATTTGTTTAAGTAATCAAATAAGTTCGAATACTTTTTGAAATGTATGATTGTTAAATATACAAATTTGAAAATATATCTGTTCAGCTCGTTTATGTTCATAAATAGTATGAATTAAATTTCATGAACTAGCTTGAATTAAATTTGCTTATACAAAGAATTATTTTATGAGCTTATTTGTTCGTGAATGAGCTTGTTCAATAGATTGAAAATATTTGTTAGATATGTACTTGAACGTGTTCTGGATAGTTGTTTGTTAGTGGGCTGGATAAGATTTATTCGTTTAAAGTTCGATAAACATAAAATACATTGAACATGAACCAAATATAAAATAAATATGAGTATCTATTATTTAAAAAAAAATTTAAGCTTGAATACAAATAGAAAAGTTGGAATTGAGTTTGAACCAAATTTAAACAAGCTAATAATAAACAAATACAAACATAAATAAACACATCCTCGGTTTGGCACGAATGGAGTTGAAAAAAAAAAAAAGAGTGGAGGATCTATTTAACTAATTTTAATTGAAAATTATTAAAATAGGACAGTTAAGATTTGCGTAATTTTTATTTTACAAGAATACTGTCACATCAAAAAAATTATTTACAAATGCACTGTTGCTTTCCTTATAAAATTGAAAGAAATATTAAATAAAGATGTATTTTTGTTCAAGAAAAATAATATTATATATTGAGTTAAAACTTAAAAGTAGCGCATAATGTCATTTTAAAAAAATTAAATTAAAGGATATATATATATATATTTCAAAATTATATTTATTTTTGTTCTACGTGTACATGAGTTAATCTAGGGGTGTCAAAATCTGACCCAATCCGAAGAATTCGGGTTCGAGTCAACTCATTTGCCATACTGGTAGGGTTCGGGTTCAAGATTTCCACCCGTTTCTATAAACCGGTCAGGTTCGGGTTGACCCGCCAACCCAAAATTTCGTCTCGTTTGCCATACGTTCGTCGGTTCGCGTAGGCTGTCTTTGTCACCGCATACGATAGCGGGCAGTCGATCCTCGCAACACGCTGGCCCTCACATCCGCTGACCCAAGATCAAGCAGGACCAGCCGATCCTTCACGGCTTCGCGGACCTCACTAGTCGCCATGCTGGCCTCATGCCTACCTCGCGTCTGCAAGAGTCTCACCATCGCCATGCGTTGGCCTTGAACATTGCAGCCTCCATGTTTGCATTTTAAGAACAAGTCGTGGGTCG